GTAGTTATTCATAAGTGATGTTATCTTGAAAATATTTGGTTTTGGATGATTAATATGCTTACAAAGTTTTTTTTTCATCAGTTTTGCTATTATAATTTTAGCAAATATATTCGTATGGAATCTTTGGACAAAAAAAACAAGGAATTTGATTTTAGTGGATGGCGATTCGTCAATCGCAGCGTTAGTGTTTTCGTTATTGATAGTGTGAATTTGTTTTTACTTTTTGAAAACACAAGCAACATTTTGCAGTTTTTTATTTTGTAAATTGAGAGACCTGATTAATATCACATTTTCAGGACATTCCTCAGCAAATGAATGGTAGTGACTGTGGGATGTTTACTTGTTTGTTTGCGGAATATGTATCACGTCGCGCTGATATATCATTCTGTCAGGAACATGTGCCGTATTTTCGTGAACGTATGGTTTATGAGATATGTCAGAAAAAGCTTTTATAATATGAAGTTGTTCATTATCACAAATTTAGGGGAGTTGTCAACAGTCTTTTATTTTTGTTCAAAACCCATAACGTCTTTTTTTTTTTAAGTCCAAATTCTTGAAATCTGTAATCATTAAAATATTGGGATATAGAATATTTTGATTGTTTTTGTCAAAACTGATTTAGTACACTGCATTCACTGGTGTGGACCTTATGCTGTTATGTTCAGTACTTATTGCAGTCATTTTGGAAACCAATAGTTATTGATAGTTAACTTAATACTCAAATATTTCATCACTGCATTTTGTTTTTTACATATTCTTATACGTATTGGAAGTTTTATTAATTATTCACATAGTTATGTTATATTTGTTGAAGTCCAAAGAAAAAGGAATACGGGGTAGTCAAACCGATCTGTCGATTTGCAATTTGAATGTCGGTCATGTAATTGTCTATCAATCTCATGATGACATTATGAGTCCTTGTAAACGGGACTTTTGTTTTGTATAAATAATTTGAGTTGGCGTGCACTGTAGTTCATTTACTAAAGTAACGAGAAACTGTTTGGGTTATTATTATAACAACAATTATTGTAGGCATAAGTTAGATTAAGGGAATCATAAGTGATATTGAATTGTTATTAAGGAAATCTGAAGTACGGGGTGATCAAAGCGATCTGTCGATTTGCAACTTGAATGTCTATCATGCTTTCTATTCATTGCAAGTGCTGTCATCGTTGTTCTAAACTTGTTGTGCATAAATTTGTCGTTTTTTAGATTGGATTTGCATTAAAATGATAAGATCAATACTATAAATTTCGTGTTCACGGAAAATTAGATTCACAAGTTCTGCGGATATGAAAAAAAAAGTAGAGATTCTTATCGAATGGTATTGTTTTTTGGTAGGATTGGCGGAGTTCTTTATAGGATCTCTCAGAATTTTTTCTTATCCAATTGCTATCCATCAGTAGTTAGGCTTAGCTTAGGTTGTGAACGCATTAATTATTTGTGTAGCAAACATAGCTGTTCACCAAAAGTATTGTTGAGATGGTTTTCTTGATTATTGATGGGTAGCAGGTTGTGATAGTTATAATGAAGTATCGTTAATAGCAGGCATAACGGTGCTAGCGTAAGTTCCTTTTTGCATTTGTACTAATTCTAAAGAATTGCATTAAGAAGCAGCTACAACACCTGTTGTAGGTATATTACTGTAACGTAAAATTGCGTCTTGTCTCTGCTATATTTAGAAACCCCAGAATATAGCAGTGACAATATATCCTGTCATATAGAGAAATTTGTGGTATTGCTTGATTCACCTACTTTTTGTTAATGATAATGCTGATAGTACTTTCAATTAGTTATCACCACTAGAATCGTCATGAAATATAAATTTGGAAGAGAGCAATATCTCATTGTAAGCTACTATGATAGAGCTAAATTTCTTGCTAATTCTCCAACAATTTTGAGAGATATTTTTCATTAGGTATTCATGATTACACAATGATGTTAGCTATGTATCATATCATTTCTGCTTCTTTATTAATACAAACACTCAATTATTTTACTGGGAAATTTTCATTATTTAAGTGAAAAATTACGAATGAAGGAATACAGTAATATTTATCTGTTAAGAAACAATTAGAAGTTTTTAAATGTTACTGGCATTTCTTTTTGAAACATTTTTAAAATCATATAGGTTCATTTTTTAAATATACCGACAACTTCGAGTTCGAAAAGCTATTCCATTCGCTGTAGAGCACCTTTAAATGGCTTAATATATAATTATTTTTTTGTCATTAGTGAATCTTAATAGAGAAAAAGAAAACTCGTACTGTTAGTATTACGTTTATTTTTATGATTGCGTTTGTTTTGTGTAGAGTATATGATGTTTCCCTTTAAAGCAGACGGGAAAATGAACAAGTGATATGATTTTTTTGACAATACATCTGCTTATCGTTTCCTGGAATTTATATTATTTATTTGAGGAATGTTTGAAACGAAGGAAGAATTGGTTTACACAGATCTTGGTCATATCAAGGATGGTATTGCAGATTTGGCAGCTGGAACAGTAGGT